GCGCCCGCAAGAGGAAAACGGCCGCGCGCTGACTGCAATGCCTGGGTGAGGTTCGGTAATAACCAGCACATAAGGTACCACCATTCGACTACATCCGGAACAAGGATTCATTTGTTCACAGGTTATCAGCCGTAAGGGCTCACTTCTCCCGCCGGGAGAGTGGTACCTGCGTGCTGGTAGCCGGGCCTTCTGAGCAATTGATTGAGGACGCAAAGGACCAATCAGCTCATCATCGCAAAGATGCAAGGCGGCAGCGGAGATTCGCGCACCACGCAGTTTACCTTCAATGAAAACGCTGCTATGCCGGTCGAGGAGGTCAATCAATCTTCCCCTGGCGACACGGCAGACAGTGGCGGGATACGCTCTACCCGAACTACACAGTCCGGATGGCAAGTCACATCAAACAGACGAAGAAAATCCACCCAAAGTACACCTAGATCTTCTCGAAACAGTGCTCGGAGTGATGTTGTCCGCCAAGGGCATCGACCATCTCGAGGACGTACTACTCCAAGGGACAGATCCACCAGGGCCGTGACCGACCGAATTGGTGAGAGGACCGGGGATAGTCGTGTTAAGAGGAGATCAACGGATACTTCTGTGGCTAGTGAACCTATTGCCATGATAGAGGAACTACGGGCACAATGTCAATCCCTACGTAATCAGCTGAACAACATGGAAGCATACGCTGCATCCAGGGATCAACTGATTCATGGCATCGAGATCAGATTCACTGAGTATCTTCGGGAACACAATCAGAATGTATTTGATGAGGTCAATGCACTCAATCATAGATTGTCATGTTCCGCAAATGAGGTTGCAGAATATCAAGCAGAACTAATGGTAGCATCTCAGGAAGACGAAGTGCAACAATACGCATCCAAGACCTTGAACGCCGAGGTGCCCTAATGGAACATGGTGCACGACGGATCCATCAACGTGGTATGGAGATCCAGGAGGAGTACAAGGATGAAGTACATCACCTTCAAGGACTACTGGGTAATACGGAGGCAAGACTACAACAACTTCATCAAACCAATGTCTTAACCACCGATATTGCCAATCGACTATACACTGAAGGTCAAGAAATGCAAAATGATTTCCAGAACTCAATCGTGGAATATCGTAATCGATCTGAAATGGCATCCTCCTCTAGTAATCAACTTGAAGTGATTAGCCAGCAACAATCAATTGCAGTTCATGAATTATCTGAGCGAAATCAGCTATTGAGTGAAGCCTTGATTCAGTCTCGTAAACAGGCCGAGCTGTATGAGAGCAGTATTGATGAGATCACTAGAGAATCTAGGAAGAAGGTGTTCGAGGCAAATCAGGCCAAATTGGAAAGTGATCTGAAGCATCGAAACACTGAACATGATACCGTCAGAAGAATTGCATCATACAGGAACCAAGAGGCCGAAGCAATATCTCACCTGAGGCTTGAATCACAGGCTAGTGCAAACTCGATCGCAAGGGCAGAGCACTATGAGGAGCTCTATGCCAACGAGCAGAAGATGAACTGCGAATTGAAGGATGAGATCAAGTTGCAGAACACGAAGTTACGAAGATCGTTGACTCAGGGTTCTACGACCGACGGTCGTGGCCCCGAAGAGATGCTTGTTGAAGATCTACGTAATCAAGCTAAGATAGCTCAAATCAGGGTTCAGGATCTAGATCATGAAGTTCATGAATGCTTACAAGAGAACTTGTTGTTAAAAGAAAGGTTGGCTGAAGTTGCGGATGTAGGGGCGTCGTCCCTCACCAATGCTGAGGTCCGAACTCTAAGATCTGAACTAGAGAGTGAGCGAAAATTGAAATTGGCGAGGGGTGTTCAACAATATGAGAGATCATGCATGTTCATGGGGGAAATCCAGGATAGGGATGAAAAGATTGGCATCAAGAATTCTGAGATTGTTGACATGAAACGTCACTTAGATGAACTGAGAAAGAGTCTCAAGGATTCTGAAACATCTATGGCTAGGATCAGTCCTGACACACTTCCCTATTCGGCAGGCATTCCCAACTCCGATCTCACATCCAGACTGGTCATCGACAAACTGGAGAATGACGTGAGTGAGGCTAACTGTGAAAACGCTATTCTGAAATCTTGGGTTTCGCAGATCGACAAGGAGTTGACTTATGAGACAAATGTGGCTCATTCCTATCGTGGGCATGCCGTACCTCCTCAACAACAACAGCATTCTCAATCAAGCAAAAGAATCGCTGATCTACTGAAAGAGGTTGACAACAAGATCGCTGGCGGAACTGAGAGGGACTACTACAGGCCACCGAGTGGATGGGGCGGTCCGCCTGACTCTGATGGACCTCCGGACCCTTTTGGGCCTAACGGTCCAGGACCACCTCCTGAACCTCCTGGTTTGCCTTCAGTTCGAGGATCACAACGCGATTCAGCAGATGATGTCTCCACCGCGGCTTACACTGCGGAAGAAGTACCGAGAATGTCAAGACGAGAGGCTGACAAAGTCTATGTTAGCCCATGGCCAAAGCAACAGAATCTTGGGGTTTGGCAATCAGATCTCATCAAGAGTGTTGTTCTTTCGGCAAATGACGGGGATAAAGCCGCATGGGAAGCATGGCTACAGCCGGCTATTCGACCAAATCCTGACATCGAGCTGTTGAATGACAGTGGGGGGCAACGGTATCAGTCCATCGACGCCAAGTTGTCAATTGCATTGTCAAACGTGATAGCCCAAGCCGGTGATGTTGCTCGTCATGTAGCGATCAAATTGAGATTGAGAACACAAAGTCATAGCCGAAGAGGAACCTATGTCATGGGACGGGAAATCTTGGCTTTGATTCTGGAGCACTTCAGAACCCCAGGTCAACGAGAAACATCCTTCACCATGGAACACATCGTATCGATGAAGTATCTCGGTGACTCGAACCTAGAAGTGTTCTACGAGAAATGGATGGAGATGGTATCAAACATGATGCCGGATGACGTACCTCCTGATGATTGGCTTCGTGACGCTCTATACAAGAAGATTCGAAATTCGAGTCTCATGATGTTCGACATCAAGCAGTACGAGTCATGGATGGAAGGAGACCAAAGACGAAATTATCGCTACCTGTTGGACGTCATCGAAAGGCACATCTCCAGAATCAGAGAGGACAAGCATGTGGCAGCCAGAGAGAAGTATGCGAGAGACTTTGCAGGCGGCGGCAAACCTTCAGCTCCTGCTCCGAACCCAACTGCCGCCGCACCGGATGCAAATCCAAAAGCGAAGCCTAA